AAAAAAAAAAATCCAGCTAATGGCCTGTGAGACCCATGTGGTGCCTGGCCCGTTCCTTCTCCATCCCTTCACCTCTTACCAGCTCCCTCCTTCTCCTCAGACATGCCAGAGTTATTCCCTCCTGAGGGTCTCTGCCTCTGCTGTTTCTTCAGCCTGAAATGCTCTATGTGTAGACCCTCTCACGGTCTTTTCCATCATTCCATCTACGTCCTTGCTCACTTGCCAATGCCTGTTCTTCAGGGACACTGTCCATGACTGCTCTATTTAAACTAGCTCTCCACTGTCCTTTATTGTTATTATCAAAGGTGACCCAGTCTGCACCATATTAACCATTTTATTTACTGGTTTGTTGTCTTCACAACTAGTGTGCGAACTCCAGGAGGGCCTGGGGTTCTGTCTGACTTGTTTAATTCTGCGTCTTTAGCCCCAAGCACAGCACCTGGTCCACAGAGGCACTCCGGAGCTACTTATTGAATAAATACATGACTGGGGCGCCTGGGTGGCGCAGTCGGTTGGGCGTCCGACTTCAGCCAGGTCACGATCTCGCGGTCCGTGAGTTTGAGCCCCGCGTCAGGCTCTGGGCTGATGGCTCAGAGCCTGGAGCCTGTTTCCCATTCTGTGTCTCCCTCTCTCTCTGCCCCTCCCCCGTTCATGCTCTGTCTCTCTCTATCCCAAAAATAAATAAACGTTGAAAAAAAAATTAAAAAAAAAAAAAAAAAAAAAAAAGAATAAATACATGACTAACGTAGGCCCAGGTTCAAGAGTAATGGGGTTGGCTCTTTCTTCCCCCTTACTCTGCAGAGGACACATATGCACACCTTAACTTGGGAGAGTTAATGCTCACCACCAGCTCTCACCACTCCCCCAAAGCCCAAGCCATGATGAGTGTCTGGTCCCAGGAGACACTTTCTCTTGATTTTTTTGATGGAGGATACAGATATGCAAGTAAGCTGTTTCTGCGTGATTTCATTTTCTTCATTAATGGGGGGACACAGCCTGGTAGAGAATGAGTGAGTCAGCAAAAACTCCAGACCACAGATGCATGTGGCCCCTACCTGGAGGCACCAGCTGCACGAAGAGGAGGACGCTACCGCCCAGGAAGAGGGCGGTGGCCATGGAGTAGCGCCGGGGCAGGTGCTGTAGCAGCAGCCAGGCCAGCACGTATGCCGGGACTTCAACCACTGCCGACAGGAAGCAGTTCACATAGACATCCCCATGCAAGTTAGGAGTGTCAAGGGATAGCCCAAAATAGCCCACTGAGATGGTCATCCTGGAAAAGAGTGCGGGAGAAAGCTGGAGAAATAGCATCCACGTGCCTCCCAACCTCAACAACTTTTAAAGTACAATTAGCGCAGGAAATTTAAAACTATCCTCGCCAGGAGGACAGCGGGTTTAACCCTGAGCCTTACTTCTTAGAACAAAAGATAATTTCCTCCTAACCCCATGTTAACCCTGGACCACACCAATTTCAGAGCATTCCAAATAGAAAGAGTCCCAGCAAAAAGGCTTATATGATTCAGGTAGAACCACCTCCAACGTGCTTCTCAGCTTTAAAAACCCTAAGCCAAAGTACTCACAAAAGCTACTTCCCTACCCTGTGACCCCCCCGCCCCTAAATCCAGCAAGTGCAGAAGGAGGGAGAGAATGAGAAAAGAGGCATGTGTCAAGTAAGGTGTGACAGGACTGGAGGGATAAGATAAAACAATCATTAGGTCAAACATTTGGAGAAAGACCTCCTAGCAGACCCGCCATCTGTGGCTCTCAGCCCAGAGGAGGATGGACAGAAGTGGCTGACCGCAGCCCCACTGTACTTGTGGACAAGGGGAGGAGCTCCTGATGGCAGGGCCACATCATCTCTCATCTACAAGCTTCCCAATGTCCCAGGCCTGGACCCTATCCCTGGTAGGCATTCTCTCTGCTGATGACCAACACTCTGGCAAACCAGACCTTTAGGCATTAGGATGTTTCGACTCATCTGCATGTTGAAACCACAGCTGGGACAATCAGGAAAAAGGAAGTGTCCAGGAGTCCCTGGGAAATCCAGAGGTGGAAGAGCACCTGGGTGAACCACAGAATAGGTGACTCATCATAGGCTGGCAAGTCTGTGGTGCAGGATGAACACTGGTCCTGTCTGAGGCCAACACAGGTGTGGTGCACTGCCCTGAGGGGTCCTAGGCAATTCCTTGGAAGTGAGTGACTCACAGTATCCTCCAAGGAGCAAAATAGCTGGCTGCCTCAAAACTGACAGCTCCAGTAACAAAGGACACTGAGATGAAGCCTGCTGTTCTCACCCAGCAAGCTCAGGTATTCTACAATCCCAAGGGTCTGGCCACTGAGCCAATGCTACCAAGGCACTAGGCTGTGCCCCCTGCTCTGGTAACTCACAAATGACCTCCTGACACACTTGGTGAAATGCCTCATTAAAAGGAGCCTGAGGACATCTTGGCTATGGGCCCTGCCTTCAGGACAATCTGTGAACATCCCAAAGGGAGGATGTTCTGCTTCCACATTCCCAGACAGTACTTAGCAGTCTCTGTAAAGGGAAGGACATAACGTTTTCACTTAGCTCCTTCTTAAAGGCCTCCCCTGTCCTCGTCAGTCACTGTCTGAGGTGCAGGGGACAGAAACAAACTAGGGCCCACAGTGATCAAGGATCTGCCTCAGGACCTGGAGGGTTTCCCCAAAGACCCCACAGCTTCCCCAAAAGCCCCCACAACAGATTTCATTCTCCTTTTCTGAGATTCCATCAAGCTAAAAATTGTGACATGCCCACTTCTTTCACTGCAAGGCAGATCCCTTACACTTTCTGATGACACAGGCTTTCAATTTGGTCTGAGACACACATTTGCAAATGAGAGGCCTGACAGCCACTGCCAGAAGCTTTGTCAGGAAGCCTCAGGTAGGTCTCACTTACGCACCACAGAATTATGGACATGACAGTGACCATTCGGATATTCCGGGTTTGAAGCAGATCCAGAATGCTGTGGGACTGTTGTTTCTTGGAACTCAGGTCTTGTAGCTGCAGGAATGATATGACAAGGGTATGGGATGGAGAGGCTGGAGACTCAGAGATTCAATAACACGCCTGAACCCTATCATCTTAGCTTTCTGCGTCTCCAAGTTGGTGAGTGTTTTATGTTTCTTTCTTGAAAAGAAAAAGTGTGCTGAGTGTATCTTACGCTGCTGCAGAAGGCATCCCCAGGCCTTGTCGATGACACATTAGTGAGCAAGAATAAGGAAAAGTAGGTGACCCGTCCCTCAGGGGATGCAGCCAAGGCAGAGGCCCAGGCTGACAGCTCCTTCTCTGCCCCACCCCCAGCCACCATCAGTGGCCACATTCCAGGGAGGCCTCCCGAGCATTCCTTCCTGAGGCTGGCTCCCTGCCCTCTGGGTCAGAGAGAGAAACTGGCTGTGCACTTTATTGATTTGATATTTTTAAAGAATTAATGTTTTGAGTCCTCATACCATGTAGTTATTGGGTTACTTCCAAGGAAAAAAATTTCAGATAGAAAAACAGGAAAATTGACCTCAGCTTCACCCAGAGTAACTTCCTATGAAATTTGGCACAGCCAAGGACATTAATAAACCACACGTCTAAACACACTGATGTTGCTTTCTTAAGCAAACCCAGCTTTGGAGTTTGTTTTTCTCAAGTTAGCAGTTCAACCAAAGGTCAAATTTTGACTTTAATGGAGCCCCTGAAATAGCCTCATTTCCTCAAAGATGCCAGTGGGGCTTATGGGTTCACCCAGACTGACCCCTCACTGAAAAGCCACCAAAGCTACCACACTTAAAAGCCCTCCCTGCCATCTACTCCCGCCCTGCCATCTGTGTGTCAGAGGCCCTTCCAGTACGTGCTGGGTGGGAGCTGTTGCTGGGCCAGCACTTAACTGTGAGGCAGGCAGGGCTGTTGGTGGCCAGCAGCTTCTCTGATGACTGTAATAACTGGTCTCCCTTTCCTAAACCCTGGTCTGCACCTGAGTCCTGAGTGTTTCTCACGTTCCTTCTGCACACACTTCAGCATGACTGCTAGTGGCTGTTCTCACAACCTTGTCTTCCCATCAGATCAGAGACACATTCCAGGACCCCATCAGCCAGCAATTACAACTTCTAACCTCTTGTTGGTAGTCATGAGACTAAGGAAAACTGCCTGCTCTAGATGGTGGAAGGAGAGGGAACAGGAGGGAGAATCAAGACCCAGGAATAAGGCAGAGCCAGGAAATTACCCATGGCACATGAGAATAGGGTTTGCAGAGAGGGGGGGCATAGGCGGAAGAGGCAGATATCAAAAAGGAGCTGGCTCCAAGATGATATGCAACACGAATGACTGGTGGGTGGAAGGACACTGGACATTTCTAACTCCAAACCTACTTTTGCTCCATATTTTATGTACTATTTTTTTTAAGATGAGAAACTACCTAAGACATGAGAAACAATAATTTCCCATGATGCCAACTTCATGCAAGTCCTATTACTCAGAGTGTTTATTATTCAAATTAATGGTTTAACTATACGATTGCCTAGAAGAGAATTACATAAGTATGACAACCAAAGGTGAAGGTGAAGAGATTTGGACAACTGGTACCTTCTCCTCAACATGTGAATTTGAACAGGACCTGCTGCAGGGCAGCTGGGGCTTGGGCAGAGGGAGGGCTGGGCTCCTGCGTGGTGCTGGCCTAAAATCATGGTCACGGACACCCTCTGCCCAGCTCCCTCATGGCGCTTACCTCACTTGAGTCAAAGATAGTTGAGGGTGCAACAATTCCATTGATTTTGGCAGCCCTGCGGATGATGACCTCTGCCTCTTCAAATCGTCCCTGAGAGATGAGCCATCGGGGGGACTCTGGGATGAACCTGGATGTATAAGCAATAATCTCACTGGGACAGTCCTGCCCAACAGACCAGGTGCAGCATAAATGGAAGTGGGAAATGGGGTTTTAGAGTCTACGTTTGGGGGATGTCTGGTGTTTCCAAGCCAGAAGCAAAGAGATGGTTGACACTATACCCACTAATGACCTGAAGTGTGAGCTTTTGAGTACCCTCAAGAGTGCACAAAATTTGGAGGGTCCTGCGCACCGGGACGAGATTCCTTCTTAGGCTGGCCACCTCCATTTCTAAAGAATGGTGGTGCCACCTGCTGGACACTGAGGAGAAAGGCACAAGATAAGTTCCTGAAGCCTGGCTTCTGTCCTGGGCCTGGCCCAGCCCAGACTCTTGCCCTGTTGTACTTTCCTACTTGTCCCCAGCATCCACAGAAGCTTCTGCACTGGCCTCTTAGCCTGTAGTTTTTCCTTACTTCCCACCCCTGCTGCATCCAAATGACTTGTCAGATCCCCTGCCTATGTTTATCAAAGCACCTGGGACTTTAAGACTTTATGGATCTTATTTTCTACCTCACCAAATGGACTCTGCCCTTTGGTCATGACCAGGAAGGACTCATGCTCTGCTCTGTGTCCTCTCCCATGCTCTGTAATGCTCTCTGCTCTAAGGGGAGCAGTGATCTCACCAACCCCACCTGCAAGGGGCAATTCCTGCCTCAGCCGCTCTGCTGTGTTCCCACTCTTGGTATGGACAGCCTCCTCTTTGCCTGTCCAAGTCCTCTATCTTGGAAGCCCATATGGAGCCTGGCTTCCTCCGTGTAAGCCAGGGGACTCTCACTTCCAGTGCTCTCCCTCTTCTCCCAGTGCCTGTGGTGTGAGGTCTTGGCAACACACAGCCGGAACCAGGGCCTAGGCACTCTTGTCAGTCTGATAACTTCCTGAAGGTCATACTAGACCCCACCGTCTCCCGGCTACAACTTCTTCCTCTCCTTGCGCTTCAATAAACCCAGCACAGGACTGAGAACAAGTCTGTTGATGTCTGGGGATTTTGTTTTGTTTTCTTTTTGGCTTTTCCGGTAGGGAAAAAACATTCTGAAACAACTTACAACTAATTTACACTCCCTGTCTCTGGGAGCCCAAATAGGGATTTGTGGCTTGCTGCTGCCCCCTAGTGAAGGCCAGGTGGAAGACATCCTGCGGATGGGCACCCCTGGGCACAGGCGACACTCACCACCAGAGCGCGGCACACAGCACCCCCGGCACCGTCAGCGCCAGCAGCAGCATCCGCCAGTCTCTGATGAAGTAAGCAAACAGTGGCAGCAGCATGTAGCCAAACGCATAAAATATGCACACTCCTAACGTGGAGAATATAATACGAACCGACTTGCCAAGGATTTCTGTTCCTGTTCAAAACAAGGGAGGAGTCATGTTAGCACTTTAATTTAGGTAATTTCCTTTTTGATTTTCTCTTACGTAATTTTCAACAGAAATGGAAGCAGCCACGCCCTAGGAAACGGTGGGATTCTGAACCCCGTGCAGTCTGCGAGCCCACTGGGGGTGCCCCACGCTGGCCTCTTAGGCTCCTCAAGGACAGTTCTACCTTGAAAATTTTATCACTTCCCCAAGCTGTAAACTAAAGATGCCACGTTAGGCCTCAAAATGTAATCCTCATGTGAGGAAGAATTTATTAAAGGGGAAGTCACTATGAAGGATGCACATGGGGGCTTAAAGGAAATATTTTTAAGAAAAGATTATTCTATTAGACGTGAAGAGAAAGAAATAATCCTTTCAGCATACAACCCAAGGAACCCAAAGACCAATAAGCTAGAGTTGGATTCCTCCAAATAGTGAGAGTGGGACTTTCAGTGAGAACAGGCCAAAGTACTGCAGTGTGTTCTTGGAATTAAAACCCTAAACATCACGAGACTAAAGTCCATTCATATCAATTCATTCTTTCCAGTCAGTTTCCCTGGACACAATGCTTTACAGAAGAGGCAGTTTTCTTCCTTGGCAAGCCTACCATTCATGGCCCTTGCTCCTCACATCATGTCTCCATCTTTCCTTAGCAACCTTAGCTCTGGGAAGGCTCTTTTTTTTTTTAACAGATGATCTTGGGTGAATTCTAGTAAAGTGGCTATTGAATACTAATGGGGCCAAGGTCCACATCTCAGAGACCAGAAAAGAACTGGAATTCAGCCTTCAGGCTACCGTGTTCCTAGTGACTCAAGGCTGGGCACTCAGAGGACTCAATTTCACTGCCTACAAAACTAGTTTCAAGCAGTGCTGGTTGGTGTTGCTAGAGACCACTTCCCCTTGGGGGACATCATAGCTATCTCCAGAGAGTGGTGGTGGGATGATGGTGAAACACAGGATCAAGTACTCAACTCCAACTTGATGGCCATACCCAGGACAAATGCTGCCACATAGTTGGAGATCTGGCCCATGCCCACAAGGACAAACAGTACAGCAAACATCTCAAAGTTCTTCGAGAAGATCTGTAGGAAGCTGAAGCCTGTCTGCATGCCCATGGTCACAAACAGCACGTTCTTCCGACCAAACCTGGGAAGAGAGTGACAGAGATCCAGCTGGGAGGAGGTGGCAGAAATGGGCTCCACCAAGATGGGCTTCCCCCAGAGCTCTCCAGGGAGGGGCTGTGGACAGTGCTGCCAGGGTGCAGTACAAGGACAGTCCTGGTCTCCAGTCCCTGTGCTGTTACTTGCCCTCCCCACTCCCCAGGACCAATGTTCAGCCCAGGCACCAGGACTGCCCCCAAGGTAGTGCCAGAAATATGATAATGATTGCAAGGGATTGAAATGTATTCATTATGCTTACACCCATACATTCAGAATGTAGCTTTTTACGAGAGAACTGGTTTACTTTGGAGGATGATGGAGAAACAAGTCATTTTAAATGAAGACTGGTAAATAAAGGAAAAGAAACAATTGTCACATATCCAAAGAATGTCAATAGGAACCAATAATAGGTGAGGGGAAATATCATTTTATGAAAGTATTCCAACTATTAAATGAAAAAGAAGTGATAAAATTAGAATATCACCATATTATAATCTTTAACAAATGGACAGATTTGGGAATTATGTTTCAGTGACTGCTAACGGTCTTTTTATGAAAAGATAACTGAATACTGCATGCATGATTTCTAGTCTCACTAATGAGTATGAACCTGAATCTGATCAAGTCTCTATATCCAACTACCAATATGCAAGAGACACAGAGAAAAGAGGAATATGCTGAAGTGCACCCTGAGTATGCAATCAGCAAAATCCAGATGAGAAAATTCTACAGAGGAACAATCCAGAGTGCAAGAGATAAAATATATGGTAAAGAAAAGGATGGAGGCAGAATCCCTTAATCAAAGTAGACTAAAAGACATATCAAAAACTTTTTAAGTGGCCAAGACTAGACTTGTGTTTAAGGATGCACATCGGGAGGATAAAACTACAAAAAACCCACAAGGAAGTAATTAGTATAAAAGTCAGGCTGAGGGGCACGTGGGTGGCTCAGTCGGTTAAGCATCTGACTTCGGCTCAGGTCATGATCTCACGGTTTGTGAGTTTGAGCCCTGCATTGGGCTCTGTGCTGACAGCTCAGAACCTGGAGCCTGCTTCAGGTTCTGTGTCTGCCTCTCTCTCTGCTCCTCCCCCACTCATGCTCTGTCTCTCAAAAATAAATAAATGTTAAAAAATTTTTTTAAGTGAGCCTGGTGGTTACCTATGGTGGAGAGAGGCTGTTGTACTTGAGACGGGACATGTGCATGGGGGCTCCTGGGTGGCCAGCAAGGTTCTATTTCTTGACTCAGTGGTAGTTACAAGGTTATTTCCCTGGAATAAGTCATCAATCCACCACACACTTGTTCTGTGTGGCTTTCTCTATGTTCATTTAAAAAAAATTTTTTAACTGTTGGTTTTTTGGGGGGGTTGTTCTGTTTTAAAGATAGTATCACAGTCAGAGAAGAACAAGTCAACGTATTTCAACCAACCTAGCAGGTTCAGCTGGAGTCTGGCCAGGGCTGGCTGATACCCATTTTCATTCAATGAATGTTTACTTGAACCTCAATTATATACTAGGCACTAGGATACTTCTGGATTATACAAAAAAAAAAAAAAAAAAA